AATATTATATCCACAAGATTTTGTTTACATGGACTATTCTCTGACAATAATACAAAAGGGCATCATTGTGGCGGATTGGGGCAAATCGGTTCAACAAAACATGAAGATACAAAAAGCAATGGGGATACAAAGAATAAGAAAATTATTCATAAAATAAATTATATTGTCGTCAATTTTTTTATCAATTAGTAACTTCCGTCTTAATTTTGTACTGTTTTCTTTAATCTTACTTCTCGTCAATAACTAATTATCCACACAATTAAATTCCAACTTCATCACCTTGCTTATATTGACGCAGTTGAAATAATTGATTTGAAACTTCCCCTACCGTATACTGAATAAATAACTCGATATATAATTAATTATACGGGTTTTTTTTTCTAGTTATTATACATAATGGCCTGGTGCAAGATCGCTGTTGACATACGTTTTGTATGTAACACAGCGTATGTACACAGAGTTACATTTGTAGACTCAGACCGCCTCGAATATGTAATGCGGCGAATACCTTATAGGTACAAGTCTGTCAAATACGAACAGAACCGTCATAGAGTAGTAATGTGTTTTAATAAATTGTGATGTAAAAAAAGCATTTTAAATGCATATAAAGATATTCTTCGGGTCACAAAGATATTTTTAGAGATGTTACCTTTCATCGAAAATTTGCTTCAACCCCGTGTATTAAACTTCTGTAGTATATCCAACAATACGGTATTGAACTTACACAATGTACCTAATAATACAGTATACAACTTTACCGTAACTACCTACCTTTACCTTTGTTATTTTATTTTTTATTAATAATATTAGACAACGTCACATACATCAATCATTTTCCTAAAAGCTTTAGTATTATTGGAGTATCTGAGATATAGAAAGTACTACATTACCCAAACTGAGGACTATATACAAAAGTTAATTTTCTATATCGACCCGATGGGGAATCGAATTACGTCAGAGGCGACACCTTGAAACCAGCATGCGAACCAATCGGCTACAGAGCTCATCGGTGTCTTATCTAATAATAGTGATGACAAAAATAAATTTTATTTAACCGTCAGACAAATAATAGAAAAATATTAGATACGTATTTTTTTCACATCAATTTCGGAGAAATAGCTTAGATAGCAGGCATTAAAGTTGACGTTACTCGTTACGTCACAGTATTGTAGAAAATGTACCAAAACGTGACGTCATGTGACTTTTTAACTTAATGTATCAACGTAATTTAATGATTACGAATAAAAAAAATACATGTTTAATATTTTTCAACAACAAACCTGACGGATAAGCAAACAAAAATTAGTCGTCATTCCTATTGAACGTATTGAACTTACATACCGTACCTAACAATACAGTATTGAATATTGAACGTACATACCGTACCTAACAATACAGTATTGAATATTGAACGTACATACCGCACCTGTACAGTATTAAATGCATTTTGGTTGTTGCTGTATTAGCAATGGGGATTTCTAAAAAAGCGGGCTTCATAAGACTATGGACTTTCTTAGGCAGCCATTAAACATAATTAAAGTGAAGAAAATTCTTAAAAAAATTCACCCGACCCAGTGGCAAAGATGGTATACAAATTAACCTTTCGCAATTCGGACGACTGTTCTAATTGGTAGTTGAAGAGATGAGAAAATATAGTAAACAAATAATATGATACAATGTTATAGGTTACTTCCATAGTCTTATTACGTATTACTTATGGCTCGGTGTGACAGTAGTGTCGCGTCTCGTTTCACGGTGAATATCAAAACTGGCAAATTATGTGATATCATCAATCATAATATAATTTGAGTTTTTATGAGCTCCTTAGACTTTAATTTCAGGAATCGATTTACGTATGATGCATGCAGCAATGAAGTATTGAACATATCTTCACCTTCGCTTAAAAAGGAAATGATTTACAAAAATGCCGTCGAGTATTTGGCCTCTCCATGGATTGCTAACTGTCAATACTGCGTACTCATTATCAATCAAGCCTGCTTATTGGCCAACCACTAGCCAATAACAGAAAACTTGTTATTAAATATTTGATAAGCTGACGCCATCGTATCATATCGAATAGCAACCGCCATTTAAGCTAGGCATCTCTCTTTATTACAATTTATTTTTAAATCGATCCAGTGGTTTACAGTAAGGAGGTTTCATACGCCCGTCTGATCGTTAGAGCTATTGTTTTTTTTATCGACGGGCGTCAGCTAGTTTTGGTTTTTGTCGATGGTCTCGTAATTCGAACGTGATCGTTCTTTTTTCGAAAATAGCAAATGGCGTCTTGACGAGGTTATTGTTTGAGTTTGTAGTAAAAAATATAGTAATGCGTACAATGTATTAACTTGAGACGCACAACGGAGGTTATTTAGTCTGTCGATAATCTCTTTGTAAAGTACAAATCCTTAAAATACGAGTGAGATCATAATTGTTTCTTTTATTTTATTTTGGTAAATATAATTTTAAAAATAAACATTAACAAATAGTGTTTACTTAATGAAAACTGCTTAAAATATTCACTTTGTTCCTGGCACTCTAAGATGGGACTCGAACCCATGACCTTTCGTAATCCATGCGACTGCTCTAACCACTGAGCTAACCAGGACCTAATAAGACTGACGAATTCTTCAAGCACCTGTTTCTTTTTCGCTACTATTAAGCGTATTTCATTGATGTTCAGGTAATCCACCCAAGCAACCGAAAAAAGTATTTTTACAAATATTTTAACTTTCGATAAAGAAGAAAATTTGTTCTTATTATTCTTCTTCTTCTTGATATACCACTCCTATCGGAGGTTGGACAGCATCACGGTTATCTTTATTTTAGAGGCAGCTGCTCGGAACAGGGATGTAGTGCTCCGCCCAAACCAATCCTTTAAATTTCTAAGCCAGGAATGTCGCCTTCTTCCAGCACTGCGTGCAGCACTAATTATTATATTTGAACAATTTTGCATTCATAATGTTATACTGAAAAATCTTTTAGTCATCTGATAGTGCAGTTCTGTTAACCAAAAATTCAAAAATTGCTTTAAGGAAAATGATGCTTTAAAAATTATAGAATACTATTCAAAATGAGTTGAGTGTGTTCAAATGTTTGCAAATAGATTAACCGTGAATACTTTTCCGATCTAAATATTGGTAAAGCTTAGTGTCAAGTGTTTACACCTGGACAATATTATGTGGAAACGTTGAAATATCATTGTGACTCTTGACAAGTTACCATAATGGACCATTGCATTTTGCCTGTGAAAATAACAGATAATTTTAACTCGATATAATTATAATTGGTTTTTAATAATTCATGAGGTCAAGAATTTATTTTAGCAAGAGAAAATAAGACTGCCCGTTGCATTAACGCCCCTTAAAATAAACATTGGAGCGTTATTACGATACAAACTTTCTCAGTTAGAAAATTCATAAGAGTTTATATTCTTCATTAAATGTTAATGCACGTTTTTGAAACTGGGTGTATAAGTTATGATATTTATAATATTTTCTTAAGGAAGGTTTGTGATATCGAGGTAATTTTTCTTTCACCATAACATCAAAAAGCATTCAAATTTTCTAGTATTCATTATAAACTAGAAATTAATAGTAGGTACATAAAATAATACATAATGAATGTGAATTCAGTAATAATATCATATTTCAAACAAATTACTTAGTTTAAAAAATGGCCTTTAGTGATAAAGACACCAATTTAATTTTTATAAATAAAAAGAAGACAACTGCAACACCCGTATTATTTGAAAGGTGCTACTCCATGCAGACCTGAGACATTAGAGAAAATTTTAATATAAATTATAATTACACGCGGGACCTCAGAGACGGCGACACCCTGAAACCAGCATTCAAGCAACTCGAGTGGTTAGACCGTTATAAAGAATTGTGTTCCTGAGTTCTTTGTGGTGTATAATTAAAACTTTTTCCAGCGACTTCACCAGCGTAATATGTAGCTCATCACCGGCGTATGATATAGTTTCCCGTAGGTGAAAGAATTTTCAGTAGTTTCGGAGTCTACAATACAAACAGAACAAACAGTCAAGTTTATCCTCTCTATGTATAGTTGTGTAACGTTGCGTACCACCGTTTATTTCATCCTAGGTTTCCGGATGCAAACTTTTGGTCTTTTGATCTTCAACATAATTTATTTTTATTATTCACTTTTCGTAATTTGAAATTTTGAGTAATCCAATATGCTCTTCATAAATAAATATCAGTTCATGAAAATTCGTCGAGTTAGAAACATTATACATACTTAATTTCAATCAATAGCAATTTGTTGTAAAAAGTCTTATAATGTATTTTGAATCGAGTTTGAACTCAAGAAAACTTATCATACTCGAAGAAAAGGATTCTTTTTGTTTACCCTTTATTCTCAAGATTAGTCTGCCTTTTATACATTTGCCTAAACATCGAATTCGTCACAGTTGTTATTTGGCTTATTTGACTTTGGCTGGTTGTCAAGAAGCTTTTGGAACTCTAAAATAAACATGTATACAAGTTTATTATTTCTTACTAACTTTCCGTCGGTGACTTCGCCGGTTTGGTCTCGTATTATATTTTATAAACCTACCTCTTGAATCACTCTGTATATTTATGAAAACGACATTTAAATTCGTTGCGTAGGCTAAAAGATCTCAGCGTATATATACAGCGGGAATCAAAGCAACTTTTCTATTCTATCAAATATAGATTCGGTGGTTAACCCCTTAGCCTGGGCTAGTAAGATTAAGATACTTGTGATATCGTGGAAGAAATAAAGGAATAAAATTTACTTAAAATGTATTGTACCGTAAAAAAAAATAGAAAAAAAAAACAATGTAATTAATATGTGTATTAACTAACTATCAACTACATGATAAAGAACATTCATTACTTTGCGGGTATAGATAAAATATATAATATAAAACCTCTCTCGACAGTACTGTTAATAATAAACTAAGGTTAGAAAATTAATTAAAAAAAAACAAAAAGTTTTTTTTTACATTTTTTATTAAAAAATTTGAAACGAAGGAACATTAAAATTTATTATTAAGGAAAAACAATGTTAAACGTTATAACGCTGTTTCGATGTTCACGGCGGAAACTTAAGACAATTTTTAATTAACATTTATCAATAAAATACTGATGTAAACATATTAAATTATAAATGCTTCAAAATTTATAACATACTGAAGATATTAGATCAAGTTTGCAGTCTGTTTTTATCTATATATCTATCTACCGTACAACAGTCAAGCATTACATCTTAAAAAATGAAAAATGTTTATAAAATAGATGTTACTAAGTATCAAACGTTACGGTCGATAAAGTAACTTAACAAACAAAAGTAAAAAAAAAAACAGACTACAAATTGTATCCTTTTTTTTCAAATGAAGAACATGTGCTGTTTTTTTTTCCTTAAAACGAATTGCAAGAAGAAACATGAATATAACAAATGTATGTTTAGAGATAAAAAAAAAGTCATTTTTAAATACTACATATTAAATAGTGCCGCCACTCTTAAATGTCACTTACAATTAATATTTTCATTTTTTTATCAGAAAATGATTAACTTCTCAGAATCTGAAATCATAGTTTTTTACTTTTGGATCGAAATTAAATAACAAAAAAATTAAGGTTTGACAGAATTATACCTCATTCTAAAGAAAAACAAAACAAACTTAAAATTTACACTTCCAAATAGTGCATTAAATAAAACGTGTATGTCTTTCCAATATTAAGCTTGTTTCCATACACTTACATTAAATTGACAATCAATACCTTGCAAATGAGATACTGAACGAATCATGTAAATTTTCAAGAATATGCCCTTCAATATGTCTTTAAATAAAACAAATTAAGAACGGGCCTAATACTCATATTATACAACGCTAAAGATTTTGAATGTAAATGAATTTAACGTTTGAACAAAATAACTAAAATTATTAATACCTTCAAAGTGCTCAATATTTTTTTTGCAAAAATAAATAATTATAAATTGAAATTGCTTATCAAAACAGTCGATAATAAATACGATACTTATATTAATATACGTTTGGCAAGGCAAAGTTTTAATCCGTTTTATTAAAATGCATAGAATAGCTTTAATATTCTGTTAAAATTGCAGAGTCAACACAACACTGTTGTAGTTTTAGTTTTAATCAAATAAAGCCTTTTTTACCTTTCAAAGTAGGTTTTATTTGATTGAACCTTTAATATTGTAACAGGGGTGAGGCTTGGGTAAAAAAAAACCTCTAATTAGTCCGTCAGTCAGATAATAGAAAAAAATTAGATACCTACGTATTTTTTTTTTTTTTGCTTCAATGCAACAAAAAATGTCTTTAATAATATACATGAAAGATGAGGCGTAGAGGCTTGCCGCGTCACAACTATGTAGAAAATGTAAAAAGGTCTCATACGAAATTTCAACTTAATGTATCGCCGTAATAAATTGACTGCTCAAAAACACCTGAATAATATTCATTAAATAATCTACCCGACCGACGGACAGACAAATAAAATTTTGTCATTGTCCCTACAGAGCTATATTCGTCGTTGTGTTTTCAACAGAATTTCGCTCAGTTGCACAAACGTCCATTAAGGTTTAATGACGACTTAAATGAATGTTGTAAATTAAAAAAAAAAGTATTGGTAATGTCGCTTTACACAAATTACAATTTAATCGAAGTTTGTGCAACGTGTACTCTGCAAATCTGACTGCAAAAATATATAATACTTTACAATTATCAACGTTATCATGTGTTTCTACAATTTATCATAATATCTTTAATATGTTATATGCAATAGGTATTGTTACAAATTGTTTAAATGACTTTTTAAAAACTACTATACAACAAGTTTCAATTCTAGATAAATCTATTACATAATGATAGAATATGAAGTCCAAAATACAGAACTTTGGTAAGCAAAATCCCAATTACCGTTGCTATCCCTTTCTTGCTACATATCTGAAAATAAATAGAATAATTTATATTAATGAGAGACTTGACAAAAACTAATTTTGTCTTGTATGACAATAAATATAAGACAGCATCACACTGCTCAGATATAGAGTTGGAATATCCGAGACAAAAGAAGGTAGGTGCCACAACATAGAGACCCGTGACTGCCGTTTATGGTTAGCAACCAAGAAGGTCACCTCTGCTGGATGGTTTGCGACTGCGTTGAACACTCTAGATTTCAGAGTAAGTTACCTGCTTCTTGCTAGAGTTCGTCACTTTCTTCCAGTGCTGAGGTCTTGAAGCTCGCTGCTGTCATCACTGGATGCACTGGCTGGACAACCATTGGTGGCAGTGGAGGAAGTATTGGAGGCCGCCGCCATTGCCATAGACAATGGTATAGTGATAAACTGTGGCTGGTTTGATGGTGCAGCTAAAACAAGAATGATTACATTTATATATAATTCAGAAGTTAAACAACTTCCGCGAGAGTTCTTACTTGCTTCGGAAGGTACTAAGCCATTGGTCTTAGCTGCATCTGCAGTCATTAATATAGAACAGTTCGCACCGGGCTTGCGTGGTGAGTTATGGTCCCATTTCTCTTATCAGACTCATGTGAATATGGCAGCTGAATATGTAAACAACAGCATATCAGCTTATACAATATTGGAAAATTCCTCTTATTGACTTTAAAGCTTTTAAAACACATTTTGTGGTTACCTATGTACTGTTGTACGTACTCCGAATACATTTAGACTCTAAACAAAATTCTAGAAACTAAAAATAAAACCTAATGAATACGTACCAGCTCCTTCTTGTCCTTGATTAGCAAGTCCTATTAAGAAACTATGTGGATAACCCATTGCCAAGTTTCCAAGCCCAATATTGGTTCCGATTCCGTCCAATCCAGCAAGAACTCCCGAATGATACAACATCGCTCCACCTGGGAGGTCTAATTTGGGTAAAAACTTCGGGAGAGATGGTTGACTTGATTTACTGCTGTCTGCCTCTTGAGTGGTAGAAGATGTGGATGCTGTTGGTTCTCCCGCTTGCTCCCTACAATAATTGTTTTTTTTTATAACTCAGATATTACATAATTACAGAACTAAAACTATTTGAAAAAAAATAAAAAAAATTGCGAAAATTGCTTCTACCTAAATAAGGCTACTTTTAACCGGATTTATCGCGTGTATTTTGAAATATTATTTAATTTTTCATACGTTTCGGATCCTTTACAAGTTCCATGTTCGCTAAAAGATTAAGATGTTGGTAGTCTTTTATAATTATAAATAGCTACTGTTCCCGACAGCCTTACATGCTTCCAGATCAATATTACTGACCTCTTTAAGGTGGATTTTTGTGTTTTTTTTTACTCTTGTCACATTTTATTGTTTATGAATGCTTACTGTCTATCCTGCCTTGTGTTGTGTTCATCGAGTTATATAAATATATTATTTTTGTTACCCAAGTTTATCATTCATTAATTATACAGTCCGCGCTACTCTGTCGATACATAATGGAGTGTCCAATAAGTATTGTTTGAAGGTAGCTGTATCGACAGAGGTCGCTACTGTTAGAGGTTTAAACTGTTTTATTTTTGTATTATGACGACATTTAATCATAGTCTCACCTGTTATTAGTATCCCGTTCTGTAGGCTCGATCCATTCCTGTTTCGGGTTCTGCTGAAGGAGTTTCTCGCAAGGCGACTCTGGTTCACTGCCGCTTTCATCGCCGCTGTCCCCTGACGACTGAGGTTCCTCCTGGAATAAACAATAAGATTTAAACATGTAATTACTAAGAACGATGACCAGAAAATCTTTGCAAGATTGTTATACTGCTATATATTCTAATGGTATATAGATTTTTTTTTTTACTTTAATTATATGCCGTGTTTTTAAAGTTATCTTTTATAATCAAACACTCTTTATTATAAATATACAATCGTTTAAAAATAATCGTTTCCATTAACTGTAAAGATAAAGGTATAAAAACGGAAACAACATAAGAACATACCTAAATTATTTTAAACTCAAATAGTGCTCAGAATATTTGAGACATAAATATGAATAATACATCTGTAATAAACTTAAACAATCACGATTACAGTTACAAAATCAGAAATTAGAACATTCAACGCAACAAAGAACTTTTTAAGGTTACAAGCTTTAATAGTATATCAAGTCATAAAAGGAATGCGCGAGCCGCCTTTCTCTTAATTTCCTGAGGAAATTATTTCTTCGTAAATCCTCGTGCCTTCAGCACTTCCATAAGGCTCAGATGTCGTAAGCCGCCGTCGTTGTGTAGCGTTTTAGATCTAAAGTCTATCTTAAACAGGGCTACTTTAGTTTCTGTTACGTTCTTAAAGTCGGCCTATGGAAACACGTTCAAACAAAAGTCGAAATCAAAATAATCTTAATTGAAATAGAATTCTTGAAAGTATTTTTGAATCGTCCGACATTTTTCCATACCACTCATTCTGGACATCTTTTGGCTGATAAAAAGAACGAGGAAGAAACTCACCAGCTCCAACAGAAGTAATGACATTTACAAAAACATGCTATTATGAAATCAATATTAACAATAACCGAATTTAGTGTGGTAATTTTTGCGAGATTTGTTGACGTTTGTACATGTGTATATACAGACAGACAGACAATATAAACTAATTATAGTTATCTCAGTAACAACTAATTTTATTAGATTATGAGGTCAATTTCCATCAAAGACAAAGAATAAAAAATATATTGACCTTACAATATTAACATAATAAACAACAACATATTTTTGTTTATCAAAATGGCAGAAACACCTCTAGTTCAAGCCTTTATAGCCGATTGCTATGTAGTAACCTTTCTTTACAATGTTTTTTTAAATAGTAGATTTAAAATGATTTAAGTGTATATTATTTGGGATTTATTATGTAAAAGCGTACACAGAGCCCTTCCACATAACACAATTGTAAAGCGTTGGTTAGATATAATCCGCGCCGCGTGGAGCTATGGAACGGTAAGGTATTATGTAACCGCCTTCTAAAGAGTATACAGGACGAAAAACGAGTAGTAAGAAGCCCAAGCTGCCATACACTGATTGGGACATACCGATTAAGTATAATCAATAATTGTTAGAATACTGGTCCAATGGGCTAAACCACATTAAATTTTAAAATTAATATACCAAAGTTTTCGTATCGAATCAGAAACTACAGACATTGTAACTCTGCGAGTCACTCGATCACGTTGATCTCCATACTGGGTCACATTTAATTATGTATATTTCTCATCGGTAATGCAACTCATCCGTTGCCTAAATTCATAATTTGCGTAAGACCTTAACCGACAAGAGAAAATTTAGCGCCGACGATTTTACAACCACTTACAAACTTTAGCAGCTTGCAGCGCTAAATTATGAAATTTCGCTAATATAATGATGATGCGTGGAGGCTTTAGGGTGTTTCGCCCACCTACCTTTAGCTTATTCTACGTTACGTTGTTGACAGTATCTAATATTTTAGATTTTGCCTTTGAAATTCCTAGAAAAGGTCAAACAAATAAATTTATAAATGAGTAATTGAAGTCAGTGGACGTTATTATTAAATCTATGCTATTTTTAAATTATTTTTCTTCGGAAACCGAATCGGTTAGTGTTGTATATATAGTTTGCAATAAAATACAACTTTAATAGCAATATACTGTATAAAAATCTAGTAGAATTTCTTTTCGTTACGTTCATCCATAAAGTATACAAAATGATGTTTTCTATTCGATTCCAAGAGAAAGTAACACGAGCAAAAGTAAATTTCCTCGAATTTCCAAGATGGCGGCGATACGGCTGATTACACCGGAAGAAACTGGCAAATACCGCCCTTACTTAGAGTGATAGATTACATTTGCCGGGGGGAGATGCGTCGATGGTGAAAAAGGGAACTATTATTGAATCATTGTGAAACGCAAGAGTTTCTTCATAACTGGATCACAGTTTTATTTTTATTATTTACTAGATATCCGCACGCGGTTTAGCCCGCGTGGTATCTAGGGAACTGTTTAGTGGGATGAAAAGAGTAGGTATATAGTAATTCAGGCTTAGAATTGTCCGTATTAGTAAATTTCATCAAAATCCGTGTAGTAGTTTTTGCTTGTAAGAGCAACAAACATACATTCATAGTCCTTAGAAACTTTCGCATTTAAAATATCTAATTAATATTAATCTATCTAAAAGATCAATAGCAAATTAACATTTCCCCATTAAACACACCACTTTAAGTAAAATTTTTGACATTGGCATTTTACTTCCATGCTCGACAGTTTTGGAATTTATGCATATAGTCCTTCATGTATCCTCCAATATAATTAACTCATTGTTTGAGTGTATGGAGTGGTACTCCACTAGAAATAACATCTGATTAGAAAGTATTTACACGCACATAATATGACTTAATTCTAAGAAATTTTAATATTTCATATAAGCTTTTTGCTAACATCTGTCTACGATTGGTAGTTTTGGAGATCACGTATGCAAACTATCCTTTTTGACACATTTTATGAGGTTGGTGATTTTTTTAAAGAGTTTGCCATGAAAGTGGGATCGCCGAATAACTAGGTACCATTTTCTATATGTGTAATAGTCACTGAGAATTACCTTAAAGATTCCACATATTTTCATACAATTACCTTAGTTTTACAAAACTATAAGAAGACAATAAATAACAAAATTAGTTCTATCGTAAACCATTCAAGTTGACTCCTTTACCTAATTTATTCAACTCGACAAATGCTAAAGTTTTCTTCGCGACAAGCTCTAGACCACTCCCAGGTCAATATTGACGTTGCAACTTCTCCAACTTTAGTTATCTTTGTCGGAGAGAACGATCATGGGCCAACGTAAACTACTAAGTTTTATTGACTCAGTGATACAGTGCGATCTTGCATAATAAATAAGGGATGCTCAGAAGTTTGTTTAACTTTTATATATAAAAATATACGGGCCTAGCCTGCAACACTAACATTTATTCTTTATTGTACTGAAAAAAAAACATAAATGGCGGACTTAATGCAAGAGACATTGTCACCTACCACAAAAAAAAATATTTGGCCGGAATGTTAGACAATAAGAATAATATAGTAGCCAAAAATAAATATGTATAAAAACATATAAACACTTTTCTTTTACCGAGATAGATAAGATATACATAAAAGCATTGCAAAAAATACATCTTTTTTTTAGCGTACACTGTACCTGCCCTACATGTAAAGTGGGAAAGATAATTTTATTTCATCTTCCCATAGTGTGGGGCATTGTTGGATAGGTCTTTCAAAAACATTGAGGGTGTGGGAAAGCCGTTTTTTATTTAGTTAATCGATTATAGCTTATTAAGTTTTAAAGAGCTAATTTTCGTTAGCGTCGTGTTACCATCTACCAACTAAACGGTCGTTGGTAAAAAATCAAACGCTTTGTCATTAGTATTTATATATAACGAAGTTAAAAGCAAATCTATCACACTTAAATTGGCTTTACAAGTTTACGAGTAATAGTCGACTAATTGTATATTTAACTCTAAGATTTTGAACAACTCCATAGAAAACAACAAACCTGTTTTTTTTTGTTTTCTAATGTATAATACTAATAAAACCTTCGCGCGCGAGTGAGACTAGCACTTGGCTGCTTTTCTTTAATTGATATTAAACTTAATTGCATTGAGGGTAGAGTTGAAAATGAACTGCGATTACTTGATATATTTTGGTAACCTGACGAACTGCGGTATGTAATTATTTATGTGAATTATCGTTTACCACCAACAAACATAACTTATTGAAATTTATTTCATTACCATGAACAGTGACGTCATTTGATCTCAAACAAAAATTCAATTGATGCAGAATAACGTTACAACCTCCCTTATAAAATAGATAAATTTTCAACATTGTATAGTAACACGCTAATAAAGTAATAAAGCAGTAACTTAGAAGAACAGTTCTTTTGAGTTGCTACATAATATTATCAAATAGTGATAAAGTATACATCAAAAATATATATAGTATTGCTGTTTATGCTGCAAATAAAATGTGGCATTGAAACAGAATTTACACACATAATAATCCGTAATACCAGGCCGTTGTAGCGATTACTAAATTTATTTGCAGAATATCCACATTTATACAACAAGCTAACAGTTTCATAATTCCATGTGTGATCCATGGAATTATGAAACTCTTAGCTTGTTTTTTTTAACACATTTATTTGCCTAACAATAGGACATTTCTATAAAAGTGAGAAAAATTTCAAGAATTTACAACAGATATTCATAGAATTTGTATCGAAGCTGCCAGCGAATTACTTCAGAAATATACTATGTTCGAAATTTTGTGAATGTCTCTAAAATGGAACGTTATAAATACGAAACGAGAAGCGTCCCAAAACTTTGGAAGTTCCCTCAATCAATTAAAAAGACATTTTGTCAAGAAACTTTTTGGACCAAAGAGGAAGCTTTCACATCTATTTTCATAGCGGGTTAAAGTATAGTGAAGTTTTGTGATCCTATGTTACGTAGCGTTAGCAAATAAAGTGTCAGTTTATATTTTACTGGTGGTTCGAAAGGAAATTGGCTACAAACTTGCTTGATAGTCATGTCTCTAAATTGAATCTACTATTTTGGCGGCTTATCATTTTCTTTTTCTGAAAACAGTTCGCTGAATATATTCTATAACCCGGACAAAGGAAAAATTTACTTTAAAAAAGAATACATATATTCTACTGATTTGAATAG